AGACTCCGTCTCAAAAAAAAAAAAAGGAAAGTCCGACACATACTATAACACTGATGAACCTTGAGGACATTATGCTAAGTGAAATAATTATGCTGTACACAAAAGGACAAATATTATTCCACTTGTATGAGGTACCTATAATAGGCAAATTCATAGGGATGGAAAGTAGAATAAAAGTTGTCGGTTGAATGGAAGAAGGATGGGGAGTGTTTGAGTGTTTATATGTTTTTGAGATAGAGTCTCACTCTGTCATCCAGGCTATAGTGCTGTGGCATGACCTCAGCTCACTGCAACCTCCGCCTGCTGGGTTCCAGCAATTCTGGGTTCTAGCAAGGCTGAGGGCCTCCCGAGTAGCTGGAATTACAGGCATACACCACCAAGCCTGGAATCCCAGCACTTTAGGAGGCTGAGGTGAGCGGCTCGCCTGATTTTTTAAATTTTAAGTAGAGATGGAGTTTCACCAGGTTGGCCAGGCTGGTCTTGAACTCCTGGCTTTGGGTGATCCACCTGCCTCAGCCTCCCAGAGTTGTGGGATTACAGGTGTGAGCCACCTCACCCGGCTGGGAGTTATTAATGGGCACAAAATTTCTGTTCGAGTGATGAAAAAGTTCTGGAAATGGGTAATGGTGATGATTACACAACAGTATGAATATATTTAGTGTCACTGAATTGTATGCTTAAGGTGGTTGAAATGGTAAATTTTATGTGTATTTTACCATAATTTAAAAAATCTTAGCCAATTCAATTAAAACAAATTTTCTTTTCTTTTTCTTTTTCTTTTTTGAGACAGTCTCACCCTGTTGCCCAGGCTGGAGTGCAGTGACATGATCTTGGCTCACTGCCACCTCCACCTCCACCTCCCAGGTTCAAGCACCTCTTCTGCCCCAGCCTCCTGAGTAGCTGGGACTACAGTTGTGCACCACCACACCCGACTAATTTTTATATTTTTAGTAGAGATAGGGCTTCACCATGTTGACCAGGATGGTCTTGAACTCCTGACCTCAGGGGATCCACCCACCTCTGCCTCCCAAAGTGCTGGGATTATAGGCGTGAGTCACTGTGCCCGTCCAAAACCAAATTAATTGTTTAGAATACTTCATGAATACAGCTATACTGTTTGCAGTTACAGAACAATCATATTTGAAAGGCTATGAGTGAATTTCACTATGTGGTTTTTGAAGAACTATGGATCTCACGCCTGTAATCCCAGCACTTTGGGAGGCCAGGACAGGTGGATCACAGGGTCAGGAGTTTGAGACCAGCCTGGACAACATGGTGAAACCCTGTCTCTACTAGAAAAACAAAAATTAGCTGGGCGTGGTGGTGCTTGCCTGTAATTCCAGCTACTCCAGAGGCTGAGGCAGGAGAATCACTTGAACCTGGGTGGCAGAGGTTGCAGTAAGCTGAGATTGTGCCACTGTACTCTAGCCTGGGCAACACAGCCAGACTCTATCTAAAAAAAAAAAAAAAAAAAAAAAAAAGCTATAGGTGACTTAGGATGATTTTTTTCTTTCTTTCTCAAAAGTGTTCTTTGGAAAAATTCAAATTTGGTGAGGCCATAAAAGAATCTGGGCTGGGTGCATTGGCTCATGCCTATAATCCCAGCACTTTGGGAGGCTGAAATAGAAGGATCACTTTAGCCCAGGAGTTCAAGGCCAGCATGGCAACATAGGGAGACCCCATCTCTACAAAAAATTAAAAAATTAGCTGGGCATGGTGGTGGGTACCTGTAGTTCGTCACAGCTACTTGGGAGGCTGAGATAGGAGAATTGCTTGAGCCAGGGAGTTTGAAGCTGCAGTGAGCTGTGATCAGGCCACTGCACCCCAGCCTGGACAAGAGAGTGAAACTTTGTGTCAAAAAAGAGAAAACAGAAGGATCTGGGTGGGTATAGTGGCTCATGCTTATAATCCCAGCACTCTGGAAGGTCTAGATGGGAGGGTTACTTGAGACCATCTTCTACACATGGTAACAAACAAAGAAGTGAGGTGGTTTTCTTTAAATGTTTGTATTTGTGTTCTTCTCTGTCTAGTACTACTTCTTTCAGCATTCTCCCTTTAAAAACAAATTTAGCCAAATGCTGTGGCACACATATATAATCCCAGCTATTCAGAGGCTGAGGTGCAAGAATCACTTGAGCCCAATTCGAGGCCGTAGTGAACTATGATTGTACCACTGCACTCCAGCCTGTGGTACAGAGTAAGACACCGTATCTTAAGTAAATAAATAAATAAAAGTGCCTTTACTCACCAGATGCCCTCTTCCCAAGGTAGAAATGTAAAAAACATGATTCTCTCATTTTTCTTTTTTCATTCATTCATTTAGCAAATAGGTATTAAGTTCCTATGATGTGCTAGGTACTTTTCTAGGCAGTGAGGATGCACAGTGAGCATGTCAGACTAATGTTGCATTTTATGGACCATAAAGGAAAAAGAATAAGCAAACATAAAAAGATATGATGGTGGGACCCCATCTCTACAAAAAAAAAAATAATAATTAAGGGCCGGGCGCGGTGGCTCAAGCCTGTAATCCCAGCACTTTGGGAGGCCGAGGCGGGTGGATCAAGAGGTCAAGAGATCGAGACCATCCTGGTCAACATGGTGAAACCCCGTCTCTACTAAAAATATAAAAAATCAGCTGGGCATGGTGGCGTGTGCCTGTAGTCCCAGTTACTCGGGAGGCTGAGGCAGGAGAGTTGCCTGAACCCAGGAGGCGGAGGTTGCGGTGAGCCGAGGTCGTGCCATTGCACTCCAGCCTGGGTAACAAGAGCTAAACTCTGTCTCAAAA